GGAGGGAGGGATGAATATGATCAAAATACATTGCATAACGGTCTCAAAAATTAATGAAGGTATTGTTTTAGAGAATAAATAAGTCTGGAGAAACATATGAAGCCATTTTGGGAGGGCCCATAGAGTTCCAACTTCAGCCTACGTGGTGAGCAGTCATTTTAAAAGCGCCGTCCTTAAGCAAATAGAGGAGAGAGGCACCGATGGCCCTGATCTCTAACACGGAAATGGGTGAAGCGGTTAATGTCTAAAAACCAGTCTGTAATCCAATTTCTTAAAAATATGAGAGTAGGGGGCTGGAGAGATGGCTCAGTGGTTAAGAGCATTGCTTGCTCTTCCAAAGGTCCTGAGTTCAATTCCCGGCAACCACATGGTGGCTCACAACCATCTGTAATGAGGTCTGGTGCCCTCTTCTGGCCTGCAGACATACACACAGACAGAATATTGTATGCATAATAAATAAATAAATATTTAAAAAAAAAAAAATATGAGAGTAGCATATAGAAAAGTGAACAAAGAAGTGGAGTATCCAGACCTTACAAGTGATCAAATAAAAGAATAAAATGACATACTTGAGAAATTCCAAAGTAGGATAAAATGCAAGCAGAGGGGAAAAGATTTCCTGCCGTAAACACTACTTTAAAGTATTTGATATTCTCCCTGAAGTATTTACACCCACATCACATGTATTCTGGAGCTTGCTGCTGTTTGATTTTATTTACATTTTATTGTGTGTGTGCACATGTGCTGTAGTGCACACACATGTGTATGTCATAACATGCATGTTGAGGCCAAAGAACCACCAGTGGGAGTTTGTTCTCTCCTCCCACCACATGGGTCTCTAGAATCATCTCAGATCACCGGGCTTGGTGGCAAGTGACTTAACTCACTGAACCACCTCGCCGGGCCTGTTACTTTTGTGTGATTGGTGGGAATGGGGTCGGAGATGGAACCCAGGGCCTGGTCCCTGCTCAGAACATGCCCTCCACCCCAGCAACACCCCATTCTCTGTATTTGGAATCAAGGTTTACTCCTTATCGCATTATGAGTTTATAGAATAAAATGCAATCAAATCTGTCCGAATTTATACAATGAAGCTAAATATATGTCACTGTTTGCTTCCATTTCTCAGTAATTTACAGACCAAATCAGTGAATAAGTATGGAAACTTTTCAGTCCCAAAAAAACCAAAATCAAGCCAAAACCAAGCCAAACCAAACCAAACAAACAAAAGTGATTTCCAACCAGCACAAGATAAACTCAGTTTAGCCAAAACATAAAATCCATTTCTTGCTCACAACTCCCCAAATCGCCGTGGCTTAGTCTTCCTCTTTCCAGTTTTGCTCTCACAGGCTTTGAACAAGACTACTTGTCCAGATTCTGTGGGCTTAGCTCATCTTCAGAGGGTCAGGAAGTGAGTGGAGGCTCATGAAAGCTGTGTCCTGAGAAGGGCATGAGCTGTGTCCTGGCCGCTCTCAAGCTTTGCGGCACTCTGTCTTTGAAGAGCGGCAGGGAGAGTCACAGCACATCAAAGCTGTTTCTCAAACAGGAGTAATTAATCTTTGTTCTGGCACCTTTGGGGCTCCGGCTCCCTTTCTAAAACTTTTTGTATTTTGATCAGATAATGTTGCCACTGAAAAATCTGTGATCTTCCTGCCCAGGGAGGAATTACCTGTGAAGAAAGAGGACACTGTGCTATTCCTGGCAAAGGGCCACTCCTGATTCAGTGGTCATTAAGTCGTAACCTCTGGGTAGTTTTCAGAGGTTGGGGTAGGGCACCCTCGTGGTCCTGGGGGAGAGGGCCTAGGCAGCCAGGATGGAACCAGCCACTGAAAGCAATTTCCAGCTTTGGAATTTAGAATTCTGCTCTCGGTGGAAGCAGTCCATTCCAAGGGATGGAAAGTCAACCGACTCAGTCACATGCTGATGGGGCGCCTTCATCATGGGCGAATAGTCCTTCCCCTCCCCTATACAGCATTGAGTCAGGCAGCCGCCATAAAATCTTCAAACAAGAACAGAAATGACTGGCAGACAACCCTGCTATATGTTTATTTTTTAAAATTACACTTCATTTAGCATGTGTGTTGTGTATGTATATGTGTGTATGTGTGTGTATGTTTGTGTATGTGAGTGTCTATGTACGTGTGTGGCGATCAGAGGACAACTTGTGGGGGTTGGTTCTCTCCTTATCATGTGGGTCCTGGTGATCAAGCACAGGTCAGGTTTGGCAGCGGGACTATACCCACTGAACCGGCCCTAATTTTTTCTAAAATGGTAGTTTGTGATTTGCCTTAAGCTTCAAAGCTATGTCTGGAAACGGAATCCAGAATGGAAGATTCCACCTCATGGCCATCAGGCAGGAAGTGAAGCACAGATGCTAGCAAAAGTGGTGCTTGTACTGTTTGGTCCGGACGAACTCCTCCAAGGGCTGCCTTCAGAGAGGAGCCGGGAGGGAGATCTGTTTGGAGGTGTGTGGAGATGATCCGGCTACACGGAAGAAAAGAGTGGACTGCATGAACAGAGGAGGGAAACACGACAGGTGCCATCATCCTTTAGCCAAACTCCCAGGCTGCTTTTCGGTTTAGGAATTTCCATCTGTATTCACGGTTAGTGGAATGGAGCATAGATTAGAATGGAGCAAAAGTCTGACTTGGATGAGGGAAGGATTTTCCAGGGGCTCCTCAGAGAACTCTCCTTCCAGTCCAGCGACTTCTAGCTTACTGTATTAAAACGCATCGCGTCTGGCTGCGGTAGCCTGTTCATTGGAGGGCTTCCTTTCTTCGAGCCTGGCGATGCTTAATTATGAGCCTAGTCACAAATTCAGTTTGGCCAAGCAGGAACAAAGCGAATGACCCAGTAATTATGAACATAAAGAAAAGTGTTGTGTCTTCTCTTGAAAACAGGATTATCAGTGCTGAGCTAGGCTCTCGGAGGACGGGAGGGGCCCCACAGTGCTGGAGCAAGAACCATGCTTCCTCCCGGGTTGGCAACAGTCTTGCCCCTGCCTTAGACCTGGCTGACAGGCTCTGCCACAAAATCTGCTGGAAGATCCCAGTGCAGGAGGGAGGAGGGCAATGGGAAACACTGGACTGGGAACAGAGGTGGGCCCCAAGCCAAGGAGTGCTGTCATGGCTTTGCCTCAGAAACCCCAGGACACACTTAGCTCTCTGACCAGCAAAGCCACTTCCCCTCTCACCTTCCTGCACACTTCCTCTCCATTATCTCCAGCCGCATTCCTTCCCATTCTGAGGCCTTCCCCTGGCAGGAATTCAACTATGGGCCAGCCTGGAAAATCTGAACCCGTTCAGGAAACCTGAGGCTGTTCCCAGGAACAGAGTCCTAAAGACAGCAGACTGAGCATTGTCTCCCCGACGCCAAAGCAGAAGTCTCATTCTGAGATTACCACTTAAAACTTAAGTAGAGCTTTGCCTCTCCCTCCCCAGCAGATGCAAGCTTTGGGAATCTCCTCGGCCTAGGCTTCCTGAGTCAGAGCTGGGGGAAGGGAGGGAGTTCTGGCCTCTCTAGTGGCTAGATAACCATGTCGTGGTATGGGCAAAGTCCCCATAAGACATCTAGCCGGCTCTAAGGTTCCAGTGGGGTAGGGCGAACCTGATGAGGTGGCACATTCCTGTACCTTAGTCCGCTCTGGCCTATGGGAAGTCTGATCTGGAGAGAGTTGTGGAAAACAGCTGGATGGTGTGGAGGGGGTGGGACAATTTTCTCACCCAAAAGCTTTTCGCAATAGAAATGTACTGGGGGCCTGAATTCTTAAATTAAGTGCAGGAAATTTGGCTCCCTCTGAGAGCTCAGGGAGTTCGAATCTGTGGCAAATGGCTCCCCTGACTTCTGGCATCTTGTCACTCCTAGTGTTGCAAAGGCAGCCACTCCAGTCCTCTACCAGCCCCCTGCCTCCTCGTGGTCTTCGTATCCCACAGACAGGCTGTGGAAGCGGCAGGATTTCTTCTCTCCGTCCATCAGCTTCTCCAACGGTAGAGAGAGGTTAGGTCATTCTAAGGCAGGCTGTCTATTATATATTAAAAGTAACTATTCTGTGGTTTCATGATAGGTCTCTGAGGATCATTCCAATATTGATATTTTATGATTTTGTAACAAAGAGTTAAATTATTATGGAGGACTGGGCGTGGCGGCACAGGCCTTTAATCCCAGCACCCAGGAGACAGAGGCAGGAGGATCTCTAGGGGTTCGAGACCAGCCTGGTCTACATAAAAACACCCTATCTCAAAAAATTTAAAAAATAGAAAGAAAGAAAGGAAGAAAGGAATGAAGGGAGGGAGGGATGGAGGAAAAGAGAGAGAGAGAGAGAGAGAGAGAGAGAGAGAAAGAAAAAGGAAGAATAAAATTATTACGAAAGTTACATAGAAAAGGGAGCTACATCGTTCAGTCAGCTAACGTCTCTTATCTTTGGGGAATGAGGTCACCCTTGAGCCTCAGTTTTCTGGCATAAAACAGAAATAGTAGCAAGGCCTCATATGGCGATGGGAGCGAGTGATTGACCACCCAGCAAAATCAGCCAGCCAGACTGTCCACTGAAGCTTTACCCGCTCACAGTGCAGCTACTGCGCCTGGCCGGCGGGGTAACCGG